GTTTGAAGCTGCTAAATTTGTGACGACTGTTACACAAGCAACAGCAAACGAATATAGCACATTTCCCAGACCCATAAAGCCACTGCCTGGAATTTGGCTGTGCTGGGTGGAGGAGTGGCAGGAGCTGCCGGTTTAGGGACGCTTCTTCTTGGGCCGTCAGACATGGAGAAAGCGCACAGTCTCCAGTGGACTGAGGCATCCTCCACAAGAAGCGCTGCTTAAGTGTGGCTCTATGAGTATTTTTAGTGTTTAACTCCAGAACCCGTTGTTCATCCCTACATCTGCAGCAAGCTCCACACCCAGCAGCCTGCCCTCCCACAGGCCTGTGCCTGTCCACCCCAGAAGCACACCTTTTGTGTGGTGCAGAAACTGAGGGCTGATTTCCCTCTCCTGCACACGGTGCAGAGTTGAAAGCAAGTGGGTCTTCTTTCCTTTTGGGTTTTAGAAGCCTGGCTGAGCTGACAGCATTTGCACTTATGCCCACTCATGTGGAAGCCCACAAGCATCACGGTGCTGAAGCAGAGGTTTAACAGTTGGTGTGTTGGAAACACACACAGGTCTCGGTAGGGATCTTACTTTCAGACATTTTAGGAATGCCATCAGTTCAGGAATGGTGGCATTCGCCTTGTAATCCCAGCACTCTGGGAGGCTGAGGCAGGAGGATTGCAAGTTTGAGCTTAGACTGGGCAACTTGGTGACGAAAAGAGGAGACCCTGTCTCAAAACTTTAAAATAAAGAGAGCAGTTGTGCTTGGAAATGAAGCTCAGTGCAGAGACCCTGGGTCCAATCCACAGTACCAACCAACCAGCCAACAAACAAACATCACTGGCCAGCCTCTACCAAGAGCAGACCTAGGGTCTCAGGACAGGGTTGTGTTCTGGTACAAGTGCTTTTCTACTTCTTCAGTTGTTCCTGTTGTTCTTAGACTAACTTCCATGTACAAGTGCAGAGTCCTTGGGAGCATCTGGAGGAACGGAATGGGGTGGCTTTGGTTCGCACCATTTCTCCGTAGAGGGTCTGGGATCCCCGTGACCCCCTCCTCCTGCTGTGTGGGGCTCCAACTGCATCCTGTGGCGGAGAGGAGGCTAGGTCTACCCCAGACAGTACCCTGCCAGTTCAAACCCTAAAGGGACAGAGAAGGAGGAGTCTCGTAGAGGAGGATGTCCTTCTTTACCACTCGGAGGATAGTTACAGCCCCTTTGACGCAGACGAGTGTTGAGACTGAGCCTGAAAGGTCCCGGTGAAGAGGACCAGCTCTGGAGAGAGCGGGAATCTGTTCACCAAGGTGTGCCCAACTCTGGATTGTGAGAGCCCCACGTCCTTCTTTACAGACTGGATCACACAGGTTTATAGTAAAATGTTACAAAAAGTCATAATGGAAGAGAGTTTTGGCCATGGGGTTAAATGTGAAGAGCTTGAAGCACACATAACAGAAGAGGGATAAAGAGACATTGGCAAAATACAACTCTCTGCCTTTTAAAGGTACAGAAATCTTAAATCCGTGGAGGTACAGGATTGCAAAATCAGTCCAGTGAGGTGGCCCAAACAGATCTCCGTCAGGTCCGCCCAAGAGCAGAGTCAGAGCCCCCTGTGGCTTCTTCTAGTGTGAATTCCTCATTTTTTTTCTGGGTCCAGTCCACCCTCACTTCTCCAGAGCTGATTATTTCTGCATTCCCTGGTTTCACTCCTGTGCGCCCTCTCCGTGGAGGGAGGTGACCTGTCAGTGGGGCACAGTCTAGGTGGGAGGCGTGGGAGCTACTATTTCCCTGCTGCATTTTCATCCAGCAGCGGTGGGAGGGGCTTCAGCACTCATTTTCTCAGTAATTAAGACCCCTACCCCTCCCTCCTCTGTCCCCCCAGGAGGGACGCAAGGCATGAAGGACTCTGTCTGGGCTGTAACTGTGGGAAGGCAGAGCCTTTTCTGGGCTTTGGACCAGACTGTACACCTGGCCAGGGTTTTTATTATTGTTGTTTATTTGGTTTTGGCTTTTTTTGGAATTTTAAACTGCAGTGTTGGTACTGAGGTGTAGTGGTCCCAGGAAATCCTGGCAGATGCCCGTGACACCCATCTCTGGGTAAATTAAGCAAATCAGAGTTGCCACCTCGTGTGGAAATAACCGAAGGACTGCTGCTCACGGTGTGGACTGGCAGGGGTGGCCGGGTCCAGCTCTCCTGGGTCTTCTTTTCCATGGCTCTCCTCTGCTTCCGTGCCTACCTTCTCCTGGCTCCTAGCTCAAGGTCTGGGAGCTTTCAAATGCTAAAGGGTCTTCTAGCCTGTGCTCCCCCAGCACTGGATTCATAACTCAAGAAGAAAACTCAAAATCAAAATCAGTAAATGTGTATAAAACTTAACATGTTCAACTAAAAAGCGACTGAGCTCTTACACGCGAGTTTATCGAGTGCTCGCGGAGGACGCATTTAAATATCACTTAGGAGAGGCCTCTGCAGCAAGCTGTCCAAAGCCCAGGTAGGCAACGTGGCCTTCTCTGCTGCTCTGGGCGGCTCCCAGCAGCTGAGCGATAGAGCGGTGCAGCGCTGCGGGCCTGCACAGCTCTCCTGGGCTGCTGCCTACTGAACGCTGGGGGGCAGCACCGAGCTTCCGAAGCCTCCTCCAGAGGCTGAAAGAAAGCTGAGCAATTCCACTTTAAGAAGGGCCATGCGCAGAACCACGCAAGAAGTGCAGTAATTCGTGGACGTGGCTAATCTCTATAATTCACCCGATTGCAGATACAAGTGACAGCTGCAATAGGGGTGATGTTCTCTCATGCGCTGTGTCACGGGATGCTATTTCGAATCTTCCTGAGATTAGAAAAAGGATTACAATCGCCCCCAGGGCCTTGCTGTGTAATTTCTATCAGTCTTGATCTGTGAGTTCCCCCAGGCAGTGCGTGTGTGTGTGTGTGTGTGTGTGTGTGTGTGTGTGTTTGTGTGTGTCTGCATGCACATGTGGCGAACAGGCTCGCGGTCCAGTGTGAGACTGTTGTAGCCACACGACCGTGTTTTCGACCCCAGGGACTTAATCCCGATGTGTCTGTAACTCCAGGCCTGCGGCTTTCCACTCTGGTCACTGCTTGGGCTGCACGGCAAAAGATCTGTCCAGATGCACTCTGCCTGGTGCTTAGAAGGTCCTGGTCCTTACTGCTTTGCTACTACTATTTTTAATCCTTAATAAATTTCAAAAACGAAGTTGGCTTTGCATTTCTGTTTGTACAGGGCCCTGCGCATGATAGAGCAGGTCCTTGTGTGGAGAAATATGGTCAGAGGTCAATTTCAGTCCAAGCCTTGACTGCTGGGTTCTCTCTTGGTCTCATTTTAGTGACTTGCTTGACTTAGACTACAAATGTAAAAAGCAGGGCTTTGCTTAAACACCCTTGGGAGCCTGCCCCTCCTCCTGTGACCAGAACATGCCTGCAGACTGCTGCAGAGCTCCTCACCGCGAGGAGAGTCCAGCGACCCTTGTGCCCCAGGCTCTGGGACACACAAATGGACTCACTGAGGAACTGAGCCAACACTGTTTCTGTCATTTGCCTCAGCTTCCTGGAAATCATTCCCTACTAGGAGGAGCAGTCCTAGTTGGAGAGCAAGCTCGGTTCCGTTTATCGTAGGTCGAGGTAAGTCAGGCTGATTCCCCGTGCATAGCCCGATCCTCATTCTTCTTGGTTCCCTTTTCTCAGCAAGGGCTGCTGCACCATGGGAATAGCTGGCTTTACAGTGCCCCCTGCTGGTTAGGGGGGGGCTCAAGAGCTTTTGACAGATGTCAGCTTCCAGGGACTGCCCTTGTGCTAGTCATCTTGCTACAGTGCACTTTTATAATGCTTTCCCTCCAAGGATCCTTGGATACGTGAGAAGAAATCACCTGTCACAGTCTCCTGGCCTAACACCCGAGAACCCCAGGGACTCATTTGTCTCTCTGTCTGGTAGGGCTGGAGAGATCCCATGCCTTCCTCCACTTGGGACTTCTGTGTGATCTGGAAGGACTTTTCTGGACCTCAGTTACTGCATGTGTAAATGAAGGTCAACAGGCTCTGTTTGAAAGTTATCCCCACCAATAAACCCTATGAAGATGAAATAGCCCCAAATCGAAACATTCTTTTAAAAGTAGAAGTAATTCCCCAATGTAAAGGGTGGCAATATTATATTTTGACAGTTAAATTCAAGTTTAAAATCCAGCATTATAATGAGCAATATGCTTTTGCAGGCACTGAAATTTCTTGTGTTAAAATGGGTCAGATGTCCAAGAGACAAATGGAACATTCCTTGGAATGCTAAGATGTTAACTGGCTTTATAATAACATTCTTCAAACAATCTACTTATAAAATACTGAGGAGATATCAGAGGCTCAGCAAATTTTCACTGGGCCTTTAAAAAACTTCCTTAATCTCACCTATTTTGGGGTGATTTTCTCCTCTGAATTTTTGTAATTTTTAATATCTAGCATGCATATCTGGCATGAGTTGAAGGGGTATTGGGTAGGATTCTCTAGAGGAAGAGATCTGCATGGTAGGAGGCCAAACGGTCCAGCAGCCACTCAGTCCGAGAAGCTGAAGCCACAGAACAATCAGGATCGAAGATGGAGTGTGGGTCTAAGACTGGAGGCCTGCGTGCTCCCCTGAGAGTCTTGGTACGAATCACCTTGGAAGGCTGAAGAAACTGGAGTCTAATGTCCACAACAAATGGCAGTAACAGAAGATACATCACTCAAACAGAACGGAGGCTTTTCAGGGAAGCTGACTTCCTCCTTCCTGTTTTGTTCCATCTGGCCTGCAAGCCTAGTGGATGATACCACCCCAATTGGGGTGGGTGTCTCTCCCTCAGTTTGCTGGCCTGCCTGCCAGTCATCTCCAGAAGCACCCCATGGACACAGCTGGAAGTGGCCTTTACTTATTAAGCATTTATCAGTCCAGTTGAGTTGGTCTATCATGGTCAGTGGCCACGCAAGTCCACGTGGGTTACATTTGTGACATGAAACAGTGTCCTGTCTCTTGTCTTATCTCAACAGGAAGCTCTCTGAGAGAAAGCAGACATCTGCCACCACGCACTGAGCATGGCGCTTAGCAGAGTGGCCCCTGGGGATGACTGTAGCAGTGCAGGAGGACGGCTGGCTTCGTGGGCCTCTTCTGACTCTGCAGGCTCTGGAGAAAACACTCCGGAAGGGCTTCTGTGTGGTCCAAGGTAACTCTCACCCACATCTCTCTCGTGCCAGGATGTTGCTGTTAGTCTTTAATCCACAGTTTCCTTAGGAACTGTAGATGGTTCTATGATTTAATTAGTTGTATAGAGGATTTTGGGTGACTTGTAAGGGAAAGTTTATCAAAATTGTACCCAAAATCATACCTAAAGCATACTTAAAATCTTTCATAAAAGCTGACGTGTTATTATCCTATTAAAAAAGAGAAAGCCTTTCAATGCAAGGATTGAGAGCATGAGGGTTTAGTTATGAAGTAGCTAGAGTTTCTCATGATTGAAGCAAATTACAGATAAGATTGCAGGCTGCTTTGTAATTTAATTCATTGTGCTAACTATATCTGCATGAATTTCTGTTTCCATATTCTCATGTATCTCTTATGTTTCCTCAAATTTTTGAGCCAGTCTTTCCTCACCAGTGGCTATAGTTTGGGCCTTAAATGTCCCCCGTGGGCCTAAATGTTAAAGACTTAGTCCCTCGCTGGTGCTCCTGTGAGGAAGTGGGACCTTTAAGAGGTGGGGCCTAGTGGGAGGTCATAGGTCATGGGGGACTGTCCTTGAAGGGGACTGTGGGACTCCAGCCCTTTCCTCAGCTTCTCTTTTGTGTGCTGGCTACTGGGCAAGCAGCTTTGCTCTGCCCCACATCCCTACCGAGATGAGATGTGCTGCCTGCTTCCACCAGAGCCTAACAGCAATGATTCCTCCCAGTGCCATGGCCTCACATAAACCCTTGCTCTTTATAAGGTGATGATTTCAGGTACTTGGGACAATTATAGGAAGCTGACTACCATGCAAGCTAGGTCTGGATCTGACATGTGTGTTGCGGTCATTACAGCCTGACCTCTGTCTCATTTAATAAAAGGCGATAGCTACTTATAATATGGAAGAAAAGTTGAATTTAGGATGTACTGTATAAGTCATAGGAAGGGGAGGGAAGACGCATCAGGTCTTTTGTCCCTAATTAGTAATTCTGTTGAAATTACAGTCATAACCCTTATGTTTTTTAAGTTGGCCCCTGAAAAGGAGAATCTTATGCCATTCATTAAATGAGACAAAAGACTAATTTCTTCTTTCTAGCCTCAAATCATGAATTCTGGCCTTTTGCTTCTCATTCTGTCTTCCTTCCTGGCAGAAGGCTGACCTTGGCCTCTTGTACAGTGCTCAGACTCCGTCAGAGAGGGAGCTATGCCACTGAGACCCTTTTCTGGTGAAGGTGAGGAACTAGAAATCTTCATTTAGGCCAAGGGTTTTCTGAGAACTATAATGCTAATGACTCCACTCCTGAGCTTTGTGTAATCCTCTTGGTGGGAGAGAGAAGTGACGCCAAGTCCTTCGTCTGTTCCCCATCTCCGGATTGGGTTACACGTGTACAAAGTTCCAGAGAGGTGGAGGAGTGGCAATTCCCACGCCTGAGAGCGCTTTGGTGTTCGTCAGGCACTTTACACACATCGTTTCGTTCACTGCTTTGCCCAGATAGCACACTGGTCACCGTCGCCATCGCTGCACAGAGCAAACGCAAGGCCGTGGCGGCTGCATGCAGGAAGTCAGGTCGCTTGTGCTCTGCACCGGTCTGGCCTTGTCAAGCATCTTTGTGTGGCATTACTGCGCCGAGTTCTTTGGTTGGTTTGGGTTTTCACCCGGGAAAGGATTTCTACCACTTCCTTTTAGGCAAAACAGCCCTCTAAGAGACCTGGCATCATCCCTCCTCCTGTGCCCAAGCCCACAGCCTCTATACAATCCTGACCTGATGGCTTCTCTTCTTCAAGAACAATTTTAGGCCAACATAAAGTCTAGAGGAACCGGTCTCTGCTGTTATCTTCTCAAAGCTGAACACTCTGGGTTCCTTTAGCTTTCTCTTTCACCGTGTTGGAGCCCACCAGTTCTGCCAGGGACCAGTCGCTTAACGGACATGTAGGTTTTCTCACTGCAATAAGGGGATGACTCACATCTTAAAGGGTTGTTGTTAGAAAGAAATCAGAAAATAACTCTCAGGGGCACTTGTAGAACAACAAATTAGCACACTGGAAACTGCTTTTTCCACTTCCACCTTGCCTTCACCACCTCTGGCTTCTTTGTTGTCTGTGTAGATCCTCTGGGAAGAGCACACTGCCCATACAGGCAGGAATGTGTAGTCTGGGGATTCTAGGAAAGGGTCTCAGCTTCTGCTACCCCCCCGTCCCCCAAGCAAGTTGTGGGGAAGACAAAGCTGGGAAATGCAGGAGGGCTCACCTGAGGCCAGTGGGCTCCCGCTGACTCAGGGCCTCTGATTCACGTGTGATGCAGGTGCACCAATTACAGGCCTGCGGCACAGGCAGGGAGCACTGACTTTAGGCCTGGCAGGGTTCTGAGTTCTACATTGGCAACGTACTGGTTTTGTGATAGTGGAAAAGGACAGGACCCGTCTGAGCCCCAGATGCTGTTTCCCAGAGCCCCCTCCTGGCACCCTTGTGGCTTGGATGGATCAGTAGCCACTGTGCATCTCTCCCCTCCCCTCCCCTTCCCCCTCAGCTGGTGGTCTTCAGCTGGAGGGCTGGTGTTGGTGGGGAACTGGTGTCAAGGTCTCATTGCAGTCTGATGTTTGTATTGTGCCCAGGCCTTTAAAGTCAAAGATAAAAGGCCTTTCCTACCTGTGTTAATATTGGAACACCTAATTCATTTCTCCATCTTTCCCGTTATTTAAGTTGCATGGGTTTAATTCATTTCCAGTTTCCTACCATGCCTGGCACCCAGGACAAGGGTCAGAAAACGTTTCTGAGTTAAAGTCAAACAGACTCTCTTTCACTTCTGTGGCTGTTTTGTTGAGATTGTATCTGGCTTGGACTCAGGAAGAAGGTTCTAGAGTGTTGGCTGCTGCTGTAAGTTTTTGAGTTCTGGGCAGTAGCTGGTATTTTAGGGAAAATACTGCATGGTGAGTGAAGCGACTGAGGCCTTGGCCTCATGTGAGTTGACGTGAATTCTGGCTCTCTCTGAGCTTGGGAAAGTTACTCAACCTCTCCAAGCCACAGTTTCCTCATCCATGAAATGGGGATGATGACAGAGCATCTGTCTGCAGGGGCGTAGTGCAGATTGCACGCGTCTCTATGTTTAGGATGTGAGAACAGTGGCTGGTTACAGTGAACGCTGCCTGTCTGCTGCTGTTCCCCATTTCTCACCAGCTGTGTGGTGGGTGGGACTAACTGAGGAGGGCTCATCTCTTCCAGTCATAATGTTCTGTGACCCTGGTGAGCGCAAAGGCCAAAAAATGGGCAAGAAATGGGCAGCCGGAGAGGAAGGGCGAGGTGGAAGTTGTGTGAGTGACCTGGGCCGAGTGCGTCGTGGTGGGAGCGAGTTCCTGGTGGTATCAGCACCGCGGATCCATGCCTGTACAGACGACGTCTGTCAGGGTTCTCTCTTCTTGTGGGTGATACCGAAGCTGGGTGGTGCCAGCAGACAGGCTCTCCTGGCTTACAGAACTCTAAGCTCATAAACATGGGGAAAATCCCACCCCCTGAAACTGGCAAAGTGGGAGCTCCTGTTCCAAGAAAGTTCCAGAAAGTCCCAGGTCTGGAAGCTGAGGCCTAACCTGTGTCTAGAGTCACTCAGGGTTTGTTATTCCAAATCACGTTCTCCCCTGAGGGGGCATAGTGGGCTGGGCCATCACTCTTGGCCTTCAGCGCAGTCTCTCATCAAATACTAAATACCTGGGTAAACAGGTGCCCCTCACAGGCTTCCTGCTCCACTCTCCCAGGACGTGGCTCCTCCCAGGAAGAGTGGAAGCTGGCAGCCGCCTGTGAGGAATGCAGCGCCTGGAGAGACACCAGCAGCAGGCCAGAGTTCATAGCACTTGAGGGGTGGGGAGGAATAGAGTAATTTACAGCTGACGGAGGAATGCTTTTCTTCCATCAGAAGTAGAATTTACTGTCTGTATATGAGTTACATTCAGGTTGGAAAGGCAGACTTTTCTTGGAGGTACTTTGCCTAGAACACCTACTCTAGACACCAGAAGTATTTAAAACATTAAACTAAACATTTTAAAATTTTAAAATGGATGCAGCCTATTAACAGAAAATTCATGCATGGAAGCTTAAGGAATAATTAAGATCTTTCATAATCCAGCTACCAAAGATAACCAATTAGGCTTTTGTTATAATTCTATGTATTTGCTATAATTTTGAAACATGGTTCGAGATGGCATGTAAACATTTTAATTCTCACTTTTAAATTTAACAATTAAGAGTGAGCATTTCCATGTTGTTAGAAATGTTCATAAAGTGATTGTGATGGCATTATAATATTCTATTTACTTCTGTGCTTAATTTACTAAACCATAATAATGCTGGCAGACCAGCACTGCACATCCCTGACTGTGTACCAGACACTACTCTAAGCCTCTTACACACAGCAACTCATTTATTTCCTCAGGCATTGGGAGGCTTGTACTATTAACAATCTCCATTTTTTATCAGGGCAGAAATGGAAAGGCTGAGTAGCAGCTTGGGTCTCTCAGGTTGCTGTGTATTTGGGGATCTTCCTGCTCCTCTACCCTGTCAACCTCTTGACTGCTGTGGACACCCAGATGGTGGCTTATTTTGTTTTTAAAGTAAGGCTTCTGTGGAGGGGGGTGTCTTCTTTCCCTTCTTGATGAAAGCTCAGGCCCTGAACCTCGCTGGCTCTTGGGGTTGGGGGCTGCTACGTGAGGAACAAGGTCCTGAGGCAAAGCCCATTGTGGAGATTGGGCTGTTGGTGACGGAGCCCCAGTTAGCACCCCTTTTTTCTGATTCTTTCCTAGTCTTTCACTTTCTACAGTTTTTGTGTGAAAAGACACACAAGAAAATCGCACAATGCAATCTTCACAAAGATAGATGTCCAGAGGAGACTTTCAGGGCACAGGCAGTGGCTTATTAATTACAGCAGATGATTTCCTCCCTGTTTCCATATTTCTGGCCTGGCTCAGCAGGCCCTGGGCTCTCTAAAAGCTCTTGAAGAGTGAGAGGGAGTGAGGACCCTTC